TATTCAGAACTGTCACCAGTTGCATCACCTGTCTGTATATTTTTGTATTTTTTCACATTGAGAGAACTCTCGGGTCTTGGCCAGAAATGCTGTAAATATGTTGTTGGAGTGCCGTGTGGGTTTAGGTTTTAGCCGTTCACACTGCTGAATTGGTGCAAGTGCAGCATCCATCAGAGCCACAGCCCAGTTTCTAACTGCTCAAACACAGAAACGACACACGCAAGGAGATATCAGCACGTCCACACACATGCATTTAACATTTACACATAGAGAGAACTCACGGAAACTACGACACACCGCGACACATCCATGAATTGAACAATATGTTTTGGGTTTCTTTATTTGAGGGTTCAGTGTATTTCTTAATATCTCTCTCAGCCATCCTTATCATAGTGTGATATTCCTTATAAAGTATATGAATTTTTACAGAAAAGACTGATTACAAAGTTACAACAGAGTCAGCTGATGCAGAAAAATATATTTAACAATGACAGTATCAAGCAAAATAAAATGTTCCAGTTCAGTGAAGCGCTTGTTGTAAATTAGCTATAAAATAATAAAAATTAATTTAAAAAATGCTTTCTGAAAATGGACTCAGCAGCCTTCTTTTTTTCCTTTGTTTGCTTGTTCCTGTTAATAGTTGGACTCCCACCCCAGTTCCACAGGTGAAGAAAATAACAGTCCGGCCAGAGGAGGGCACTCATTCTCCATTTACAGCTGCTTACACAAGCTCCACTCAGATGTATTTGCACAGACTTGCTCTGGCTCTTATTTGCTGGTTGCTTCCCCACCCTGCCTTCACTCATCGGGGGAACCATTTTCTCTTTAGAAAAGCACACAATCATGAGGATCTCTTCTTTTGATCGCATGATATGCTGCAGTGCCTGGGTGTGTGTAGGTAGACATTCAGATTGCGTGTAAGGCCGCTGTGATGCTATATCCCTGTGATTGCTTAACCTCTTTGGATTAGAAACTCGCAAATGCCACGTTTATTTATTACCTGAGCTCGTTCTCTTCATGAACTCTGAATTTATTTCTTATTATGCAGCCACAAATTAACTATCGCCGCTAGAAAGCTTTTAAGCTTACTGACTTGCCAATGGGCAGGTCATTACAAACTCCTGCTGTGCAACCAAGCAACCCAATGAACTTTTGTTTGTGCTTGTGTAAATCCCATTTTCCCTAAGATATCTCAGCTTTGAGCAGAATCAAAACATATCACCTTTGTAGAGCTTAATAAGAGTTACTGAAAGAAGTTAAGTGGTTTAAATTACATTTTATCTTAAACCACTTATTCGGTTCCTGAAATACAGAACATTGTTATTCTATCTGACCCGAGCCCAGTGCCTGATGCATTATAACTACAAGTGACAAACAGAATCAGGCAGAAGGATGAGAGAACATCCATCAAAGACCTTAAACAGGATTCGAGCTGACAAAACGGTGAAGTCTTACAGCCATCAGGTTACTAACATCCACATGATTCTGTTATCCTCCTATCAGTCATCATGTCTACTTCATGTACCAAGGCACGCAATGCATATACCCACAAGCTGGTGTAAGAATGCACAGTTGGACTCTCGAAGAAGCCAGATGCCTGACAGATGGATAGATGCGGGGAGAGAGAAGAGGGGGAAAAAACAACAAAATTAAGTTGCTTACTTCAAAGTTAGAATTTGAAATTTCCTCCTAATTAAGAAACCGACTCTGTGAATAAACTCTCTCTTTAATCATTAAAGTGATTCATGGTTTGCAACCCTGATTCGCAGATGTACAAACACTCCAGTGCATGTATCCCGTCTTACTGCCAGGATGGGAGGGGGGGGGGTTCCTTTTAAACAAAAAAGGGTGCTATGATTTACCAATCACTCGGACCCAAAAGCAGCACAAAGTCAAAGGGAAAACGTCTAAAAGATTTATTGACTGAGAGATGGTGGACTGAGTAGAGGCTGAGGAGTGAGTAGTCTTTAAATGGCGAGCTGGAGAGTAATGCATTGAGCAGCGAGGGAGTGATTGAGCAGGGAGGTGGGCGAAGAGAATGGTTTGGTGGTCATCTGTCTGCAGACAAGCAGATGACAGTGAGCAGACAGGCGATTTGGCACACACAGGAGGCTCAGCGGAGGTGACCGTGCGATCTGCCTCGGAGGAGTACCGAGGGGTTGGTGTGCCGCTGAAGCTGACTGAAAGAGGACGTGCAGGTGTGGCGGCCGCAGGGACCTCGGGCAGGGAAAGGAGTGGCCATGGCCAGGGAAACGCAAACACACAGAGATACACAGAAACACCCACAGAAACAGAAGGGAGAATGCAAGAGAGACAGAAACACAGGGACCAAACCAGATTTCTGGCAGAGCCACAACAGAGGGATGAGGAATGAACGCTTCCAAATGTAATAATTAAATCATGCCAGTTATTAGAATCAAATTTCTCTCCAAATATGAAGAATGTGAAATCTGGTGGAAGGAAATTAATCGTTAGACTGTTTGATCTTATAACTCTGTGCAATGGAGCCTATAGTCATTATGAGTTGCAAGTCTGTCGCGTTCCACCGGCAATTATTCACAGCGGGCTTCAAAATGGGCCGATGAAGGAGCAGTGCCTCTTTTTACCTGTTGCTGTACAGAGCTTCAGTGACATTGCTGGATTTGGATGAAAGAACAGCTGACGTGCGAGTGCTGGAAAGAAGATTCAACTGAGAATATTTTTTTTCCTAGGTATTCAAAGCAACCTCCAAACCTCTGAACTTCTGTACGGGGAAACCGGTGAAGCATTTCAGTACAACACAAGCTATCGCACAATTCAAAGCCAAAAGCCTTCAGTGGACCTGAAGGCCCCCTCCTGTGGTCTTCCTGGAACCTTTACTTTTAGTCCTAACTTCAGCAGGGGTAGCCTTACGAAAACAGTGGGATATTTTCAGTAGACAGGCCCACTTTTTTTCTTCTTCTTTGTTTTTTTTTTTTACAGTTGCATGAGCTGTCAGAAAGGCATGCCTGTATTCGTCTGAACAGCTGTAACTCTTTGGTTAAGCTAATCCTCTTACATCTACATGATAATATAGCAGGCATCCAGGAGTCTTAAAAAAAATTCACCAGGAACAGTCAGCGATAGGCTTGCTTCACCGAGATGCTTCAGTCACACAGCCAAACATACGGCTCTAACAGACGACTGTCAGTATCATTTGTTACCTTAATTACAACACGACAGCGGCAGCCTGAAGTGGAGGATCAAACGCAGAGCCATTCCTCCTCGTTCATATTTCATACCAGCTCGCTGTGTTTGACTGATCCCTTCTTCTCCTCGTTATGCTCTCGCACCCACGAGGCCCCACCTGGTGCCAGCTTAGCTGTTTGTGCAGGATGACTTTGAGTTCATTGCTCAATTGTTCGTGTCTCTATTGTTTATCACGTGCCGTATTAGTAAATCTGGATGATGTCAGTTTGGATGCTTCATTGCTCTTTATCCATGTATCAGACTGTCTGCAT